GTGGATCCACTAAGTAAAGTAAGGTCCTATATCACGGCAAGGTATAGGATGGTCCTCGGGCAACGTGAGGTAAAACGTTGTATCATTAGCTTCCTATATCAAAACCAGGTATAGGATGGACCTCAGGCAACGTGAGGTAAAACGCTGTATCATTAGCTTCCTATATCACGGCAAGGTATAGGATGGTCCTCGGGCAACGTGAGGTAAAACGTTGTATCATTAGCTTCCTATATCAAAACCAGGTATAGGATGGACCTCAGGCAACGTGAGGTAAAACGCTGTATCATTAGCTTCCTATATCACGGCAAGGTATAGGATGGTCCTCGGGCAACGTGAGGTAAAACGTTGTATCACCACTCATATTCGTAGTGGTGGTTTGTCGGTTAGAGAAGCTCCCACAGTAGAAAGAGCATGGTTCCTCGAGGGTTCTGCTTAGTATGGATGGGTGTATGGGACTTCATTCATACATTGCACAAGTAGACCTTGAGAGGAAGCATGGTATTTTCATGATATTATAAATATGATTTTTCGTCATGTTTTAAGAGTTTTACAAGCTTTATATATTGCATGTGTCTTATTGCTTTATATTGAGTTCGGTTATTCATGAGTCGAGCAGAGCCAAGGTAAGTGTTCTCTTGTACTCCTTTCAAGCTTAAGTTGTGGTTTAGCTTTCCATTTCGCATATTCGTACATTCAATGTACTGATGCCAGTTGGCCTGCATCTTATGACGATGCAGACACAAGTACCCCGGATCAGCATCCAGCACGTCATTGATCCAGATGAGTACTCCAGAGTCAGTGGTAAGCCTCATTGCCTTCCGGAGGACTCTGTTATTTTGTGTTCTTAGTTTTGTTTTGTTAGGATGTTGCGGGGTTTGTCCCAACATCCATCTCATTATTTTAGAGGCTTCGTAAATAGTTAGTCAGTTAATATTGAGTCTCTCATCTATGTATATATGTAAATATTCTATTTTGAGACACGAGTTGCCTTTTTGGCGTGTTATGTATCAGTTAGGTTGTTTTTATGACCTTGCATTGCATTGAGTTATTCTGTTGAGTTAAGTTTCCGCTAAGTTAAGAAAGCCAGGCCAAGGGTTCGCTTGGGGGCCAGCAATGGTCTTCAAGTGCCGGTCACGCCCAGGGTGTAGGCTCGGGGGGTGACATGATCTAATTGTATCTTCAACAGATCTTCAAGTAAAGCAACCCTCTCAAATTTTCCTAACCGATAGATATCTTGTTTAATGTTATGATGCTCGATTGAGAAAAATGATTACTACTAGAACTTTCAGATATCCTTGTTCAGACCCTTGTGCCTGAAGCATTAAGTGTGAGTGTGCTTAGTTTAATTATGTCCTGTTATGAACCAAGTCCAACCCAATATCGATATTAAGGTCACACAAGTAGTTATTGGGCTGACAAGAGCTATTGGGCCGAAAGCAAGCAATAGGTCCAGTTTTATTTGGGATCCAGGCCCATTTACACTTTGTTAAAAAGGACTAGGAGTTAGAAGAATGGGGATGAAAAACTATTATGTGAAGCTTTGGCTTTCTGATCCTCTCATCTCTTTTCTATGGTCTTGTATCTCATCCCTTTCTGGTTACTTCTTTCTCAATTTATCTCTCCTTAGTTAGTGTATTATTACTTTGTTGTGCGTATTCTACATTATAACTTGTATTCAGTGATTAATATATATAAGAGTGCTTCTGCTGGAATTGAGTTTGTTACATGTCGTGCATT